CTCACAAAACATTACACTGAGAATTTCAGTGAGATTTCATCTCTGTTACCTGATTTTGCATAATAAGCTCACTCATTGCTGCGATTTTATATTTTCTTTAAAGTAAGTTAGGGACTAAAGTTAATTTAGTAAAACTGGATATATCTGTCCTTCAGAGAACTTCAGAAAACGTACATGAGAGAAAATAACACCTTTCTCAATATTCCACTTTTCCACCTGTCTGACTTATCAATATCTCCGATTCAGTCGCTAACTACTATTGTTGAAGTTTCTAGAGTCAGCTGAATCCTTTAGTTCATATCATTTCAGAAAGTCAAATATATAACTCACATCTTGGAGGATGAAGCATTACCACTTTACAACATTTCATAATGATGGAAGAAGAATTACCAAAAATATACAAAGTACTTACTCTTCAACTGCATAACCAACAAAATATACAGAAGATGGATGATCACATCCATCACAATCAAAGGAAATGCATGATGAAGGCTTCGTTAAAGTATGATAGGAGGATAGGTGTCATTTAATCTTATAAAACTCTTTCATTGAAAAACTAGTAATAAATGTTTTTCAAGTGTTAGTTTGTAAGGAGTTAATTGACGTTAAGTTTGATTACGGATTGATATCAGTTAGACAACCACTGAAAACCATGGGGTATACCAGACAGCTATTTCGTCCTAGTCTGAGACTTTTCATGAGTACACGACTATGACTCCACCGTGGGATCAAAAGCAGGACATACAGGCTACAAGGCGAGTTCGTTGACCACCCAACCAAATGGGATAGAATTCAATGGCCCATTAATGTCAATTCGCAATTTTTAACGCCACCTCCAGTTAATGTCATAGTCGATTATTTGTCCCCATATCTGACCTGGTGTGTTGTACTAGTAAAATGCTTAGCGGAAATAATAAACTATTTACTTTCTAATGACATTAGATAGTTGGAGGCAATCGGTAGGAAGCCTTGCCTGACCTAGGTTTCGTGCTAGTTGGCACTCACCAGTCAGCAAGGCGTATCTGCAGCCTCGAAGGAACTCATGTCCCTTCTGAGATTCAAACCCGCGTCACCCAGTGCTGCAGTCGGAGATGTTACCACTGAGCTATTCGGGCTCGCGATTGACCTCCTGTAGGACTGTAGTGGGTATTTTGATTTGACACTAGTAACTAGTGTGACGTGTCTAGTCCTTTCTTTGGTCCAGACTGAATTCTATCAGTCCTACAGGTCAATCACGAGCCCGAATAGCTCAGTGGTAACATCTCCGACTGCATCACTGGGTGACGCGGGACACGAGTTCCTTCAAGGTTGCAGATACGCCTTGAATGATGAGTGCCAACTAGCACGAAACCTAGGTCAGGCAAGGCTTCCTGCCGATTGCCTCCAACTATCTAATATCATCAAATCAATGTGCACCGTGATAGCGAGATACCTAGAATGGTGGCCACATTGCAAAACCTGACTGATAGAATTCAGTCTGCACCAAAGAAAGGACTAGACACGTCACACTAGTTACTAGTGTCCAATCAAAATATTTACTTTCTATTCAACACTTTCGACAAGTATATGATACTGTTTTGGAGAGTCCACCAAGACATTTATTGCATGTCAAAAAAACTGATTTCTAACACAAATTTTTGTAGCATATTTCTTGATAACATTATTTTAATATACGATAAATATGAGAATAGAGTATATCTAGGAAAATAACTCAATATTGTATTAACCTTACATGTCTGTAGGGAAACAGTAACCAATTGGCGTTTCACAACTAACTCCTGAGTCGGAGAGATGGTGAAATTAGGCGAATACTCAGAATAAAGAGCACTTCCGTTTCTACAGCTTATTTCCCAACCAGTACCAGAAAGAACTGATAAAATTATTGAATTCAGTGCAAGTGTATATTAAGTAGGATTGAAGTATGAAAATACTGACTAGTACACTTGTTGAAAATGTATAAACACGAGATTCTTCCAACCGATGAAGCCCACACTTGACCATTTTCCATAGAAGGTCATTTATATGACATAACAACAAAAGAAAGAAGTATTATAATTCAAGATCACCCACTGTTGAGAAAACATATTAAAGGCTTTACCAAAAATCTCAACAATGTATACCAGTTAATGTATATGTGTGAACAAACATAAACAGGAAGGAGCAATTCTGCTGTTCAGATAAAGACAGTGAAATAAGCGCTGTAACAGCTTGAGGAGCAATCGCGTTACCAAATTTTGATAAGCACAGAAATGTACAGATTAGTATCAAAACAGTTCAGATTCACGGAAAGGATGTCTATTCTTAGATCCAAGTACTTTTCGTGTGCAACACTTATTTGACATTATAATTAACTTACCTTGAAAAATTCTATCTAATTATATCATCTTAAGAACTTTTTCTGCTAATAACACTATCGAAATTTATTACAGAAACCACTAGATCTTAAGTATTGACATCAGCTTGATGTTTCGACTCATCAGAAAGTATGTGATCTTCTTCACACATCAGATTCACGCATTTTCCTTTATCAAAATATTAGAAATAACAATGCTGCTGTCTTCTTGGAGTCAATTTAAAGGTTTCCTGAATTCTTTGATAATAAATGACCTTTCAAAAGGAGGAATTTACAACGGAAGAGCAGCATCAACCACCTTTGATTTCAACCTGCTTTCGCTGCCAAATGATATAGCATGAAAACCCGTAAATTATTCAAAAAGGTTCTTGAATTAGCACTCAATCTCAATTTCTCTTACTCTTTCATGGGAACACAAAAATGTCGATGGTATTTTCATTACTGGTGAAACCTCACCAGATACAGAAGTATGATTGATTAATTTTCAGCTCATGGAATCCTAATCTTGACTTTACAATAGAACATAAGGAAAACGATACTATTATACTCCTAGACGTTTTCCAGGTGAGGAGGACTGATAACCCAGTAGAAAGATCAATATTTACAAAACCTTCATAGACAGGATAGTATGTGCACTTTAAGACCTTTGTTTCCAACCAGTATAAAAGGAACCTACTCAGAACATTGCTCATTTGAGCACGGAAACTCTGTTCTGAAAGCACAATTTAGCATGAAATAAAGAGCCAATAAAACTGTGGAAACCATCCCGAAGATACCGATACATATTAGTCTACCATTCAAAAGATACGAAGTACAAAATTCTTCTAACGAAGACGAGATAATGCTATGAGAATGGCTACAAAAATTGTATTCCTTAGAACCTCTGAGAGAGTGCTCCAAAAATCTGGGAAAGATTAGCCGCTACTCTTCGACGCTTTTGACTGTGTATATCAGTTAGGGTGTATTTATGGAAGCAAATAGACAGGTGGACTGTCTACTCACATGATCGTGCATTCGCCCAAGTGGTTGCGTCCTTGGTTCAGTGGTCCGGGGTTCAAACCTTGGCCGACTCATTCTTAAACCCTGTCTAGCCGGTAGTAAAAGCCCGGTAAAGACAGAAGGTTGAGCACGACACTAGCAGCTCTAACCAGTAAAAATGACACCATTGCTATTTCAAAACTGAAGCTTGGAACCCTGTGCTCCACTGGGAACAGAAAGAAATAAAATAATGATAAATTACAAAACAATTTGGTGCTTATTTGAAATTCAGAGCTTTGGTTAGTGGAGCTTGGTCTCAAGGTAGACTTCTTCATGAGCCGATATCGATTAAAGAATCATTGAAAATCAAAGAACACTGACGAGCTGTTTTGTTACTACTACAGACTCTTCAACAACCTTCACCCAGAATCCTACAAAGGGCAGCAACCAGAGGCTTGAAGATGCCATTGCTCTAGAATTCAGTGGTCTATGAATAACAAATTCTATCTCGTCAGATAGAACCACTGTGAATCAGTGACATTAGTGCATCGGTGGCACAGCGGTTAGGACGCTCGCCGACCATGCGCATGCACACCCGATATCAATGGTCGGCCTGCTAAATTTGGGCTACCTATATCACATGCTGAAAATTCCATAACTGCATAAAAAATACTCTGTGGAGTCAAGCGATAATAAAATAAATAAATAAATAAACAAATTATGGTCACACTCATGCTGTTGAACGATATCGGTCACAGCTTCTCATGAATAGAAGAGTAGAATTTCAGTGATGCTAATCATCACTTCCCTTCGATTGTTCAAGAACTAAATATTCCAGTGATTGTAAACTGCATAGAAATAACTTCAACAATCAGTTCCTATATAAACCTATCTAATATTCTTTTTTCAAGAATACATTTATTATGTGCAGTTAAAGCAGTCAAACACAAGACTACTGAATTCTCTTTACAAACATTATTTTAATTAATATTATCACCAGAATAACAAATTTTTGAAAAAAAGAAAGATTTAGTATAAAAAACTGAAAAGGGAATAAAAAGTGACTCAAACAAGCTACACATATGTGTAAATACGTACTCAAGAAATATATATTCAGTCAGTGGTCATGATGAAGACGACAATATGAGAAATGATAATGACAATGATCATAGTGATTTAATAATAATAAAGATTTGTAGCTCAGGTGGATGATAGAAGTATGCACTGAAGATGTTGTCAAGATGGTTAATGAAAGCTTAGCAAATATACTAGTCAGTTTAAACAACTGAACAGTAGAGATTATCTAATTCAATTTAGATTTTCCCGTCGATTGATTGGACTAAAGTGCTCGGTCTCAGGTTGAAATGTCAGCTCCGACGATGTCTGGTCATGTAACTTGAATTCAATTGGTTGATGGTGACTAGCAGTGGAAAATCCAGAATACGCATTTCGTCCTATTTGAGACTCATCGTCTGGATGACCAGTCAGTTGACACGAAAATCGAAATTGAATTAAATAATTAATAAGACCCATTACACAAAAGGTGGCTTTCATGGCTTTGGTGTTTGAGACTATGGGCACTGGATACGAGCCTCGGCGGGAAAACTATCACTCACTGAGGAATGCAGGTACATCCAGATGACGAGTCAGTCCCAAATAGGACAAAATGCGCATCCTGGATTTCACCGCTAGTCACCATCAACAAATTGACTTCATGTACGACTTCATCATAATTATAGAAACAGAGGATACATATATATGAATCGGTGGAGGTTCGAACGCCGGACTACTTGTGTGGTTCTACCAATGAATCAACATCACAAAATATTAATAAAGCAGGGTTTAATCAATTCATCAATGTTCGATAAAACTCCTCAGTCGAATACAGTGTCAAGTGTACCATGAGAAATACATAAGTAGATATATATAATGAATAAATATACCACAATGAACCAATCACAGCAAAATCAGAGACGAAAATGTTTACAGGTCATGTGCAGACAGACGAGGATGGAAGGCATATTAGAAATTGAGATTGTAATGGATTATGGTTCAATTATACCAGTATAATAAACGATTAGTTATCAGAGAGAAGTATTGTACACTCAATAGACATAAGCAAAATCAACTGACATATAAGCTTAAATCTTTAGAGTTTATTTCAAAAGAAAAATATCTAGACCTTCAGTGGGCAAGACGTCAACGACATTATACAGACTAGAGACAGTGTTAATTGTGAATATAAATGATAATTAAAAGTAATCAAATTTGTTAAATGTGTCAGACAAAACGAGAGAAAGCCTATAAATACTTTGGATGCAAGATAATCGCAACAACAAAAAGGAAACTTAAGTGTAATGTTCATAATAAAAGCCATAAAATATACCATGGCTATAAAAAAGAAATATAGAACTCTGTATCCGAATGACAATCTTTAATAATAATAATAATGAAAATAATAGTAACAATAAAAAAGCTCATGATATGTTAGTGAACTTTGATGCAGGAATATAAATGTGTGGAGAAAAAAAGTTGATCAGATAGCTGACAAGCAGAAAATACAAATTGTAGCGTACATAATTCATTGTTTGCCTGGTTATATATTGATTGATGATTGAATGACTGACTGACTGATTGACTTACTTTGAAACATTAAGAAATGCTTTAATTTGATCATAACATGCATATGACACACTAACAGCAGGAAGTACTTTCAAAATATTCGGACCTAATCCCCTGAATAAACCTGATACACCTTCATGTTCTACAATATTCTTCACAACTTTCACTAATCCACTCTGTAAAAAAAATAAAAATAAAAAAGAAGATAGAAGTTCCGTAAGTGAAGGGATGAAAAGCAAAATATAATATCTGTACGATGCAAGGCATGATGATTGAATATGCAATAAAATGTAAGACACAATAAGATTCCTAACAGTGACATTCTACTAAATAAGTGCTGTGGCCTAAGCTTCAAAGAAGTAGCTGAATAGTAAGTTACTTTAATACTTGCGGGTTCTAGGATCCACTGACGATTAATTCTTTTTTCCTTCCTTCACGTTCCCCAGTGGAACATAGGGCTTCAAGCTAGTGGCTTGAAGTTTCTGTAGCAGTGTTTGTTTTACAGGATGGGGTTGCTAGCCTCATGCCCAACCTTTCCTTTTCACCAGCATTATTTCTGGCTTAGCGAGGTAAAGGAGTGCGTCGGTCGGGGGTCGAACCCCGGACCATGTGCATGGTCGGCGAGCGTCCTAACCACTATACCACCGACGCACGACGATTAATTCATGATTGTACAATACTCCAGAACCCCAGAACTGAAACGAAATAGCTATCCAGTAATCTTTGATTTCTACCGACCAATTGAAAAACGCTTTTATATCGATAATTCTTCTACAAGCCATTCATTCAACTCAAGAAACTGTAAGTCGCTAGTTGGCGACTAATTTTCACAATAAATTCTAATTGCAGGCCAGGATGTATGAAGCCTAAGAAGCTAAAGAAAAAACGGATTCCTAGAAATCAATTAATTCTGCACAGTTTTAACTGATAAACATGAGAAGGTTAATTCAACAATCATCAAAGTTAAAGTTATACATATCATAGAACCAATTGGATAAAACGCCAACGAACTTTTTCTGATGCTGTTTGAGCCTGGAGTTTTGTACGCACCAACGCCAAAGGATATGTGCCCAATTGACCGCATAAAGATGAAAGAGCACCAGCTCCAACAGACACATAGACTGGTGGAGGCGAATTGGCAGATTTTTCATCCTTTGATATAACAAGCTTCGCGTATGTTTGTTTGAATGTTTCAAACAAAGCTAATTCTATTCCAGCATATGGTAAAATACCCAGTATATTAGGGACATAACCTCGATAAAATATACCAAAGCCATTACTTTGATACAGCTTTCGAGCACAATCAAATATCGATGAATACTGTCCACTTTTTCGTAAACACATTCGTGTTTTTAGTACCTATAGAGAGGTCAGTAGAATACCAAATAAACACATTGAGATACTTGAATATAAAATTTTATCATTATTATTAAAATACAAATTTGATGCACTATGGGTATCAAAAGATGCTGCACACAAAAACTATAGAATAACAGCGAATTGTTGCCTTATAGTTTATGCAAAGTCTGGGACACTGTGTAGGCGCCCAAACCGAGGCAGGTGGTTGTCTTAAGGGATCAATCCCAGAGCTTTCGACTAGAAGTCTGATCCATAAGACAGTGAAGCATAGTCAGCAGCTGCGTTTCCATAGCTGTCAATAACCAAACCACGTTCATATGCCATTCGATCTGTACGGATTCTGGTGCCCATGTACACCGTATATATTGAACTAGGGTTTCCCAACTCCTCTAGTTAGACCAGTATGTTCACTAGTCGGGTTGTAAGCGTCAGACGTTTGCATTCGCCATCTCCCTTTTGTGACGAACACCACTGCCGCGTAGAGTCAGCGGATAGGACTTACCTGACCAAATGAGAGCATTTCGGGAGAAAGACTGAAGTTTATCCATCCTCTGCTGCACTAGGTCGTTTGCGGGGCATTGAAATCTTCCTTATATAATACTATTTTTTAGCTAATCATTAACAAATATATATTGTCAAGCATACCTCCAACAGTGTTACGACATCAAAATTGATTATTTCGACGCCAAATTTCCCAACAGTTAATTTCAGAACACAAATTGAAATTGGAAAAAAGTGATCCAAGTATTAGTACCATTTGGAAAAGAATATGATGAGTAGAAAATGGTCATCAAGTAACTTGATTACATGGTTTGCCGGAGTTAAAGTATTGATTTCAAACCAAATAATGAGTATGATGAAAATTAAGCGTTTGAAGAGAATAAATGAGTACTTAGTGCTATTAAATTATGAGAATGCTAATAGTGATGCTTCTCTTCTACTTCGTGAAATAAGCGCAGTGCAAGGTAGAAATGCACTAGACAACATGTCGTGTACTACATGACATTCAAATCAAAATAGTACAGACTTTGTCACATATCATCTGGAAATTATGCAACAGAAAAACTAATGTTCAAGTATTGGTTTTGTAGGGATTTAGTTTGATTGGATGGAGGATTTCATCATGAGCTGACATCGGTTAGAGAACCATTGGAAAACCTGGGAGTACTGGACAGCTGTTTCGTCCTAGTTTGGGACTCTTCATGAGTACGCACCCACCGAGGTTCGAACCCAGGACCTTCTGGTTACAAGGCGAGCTCGTAGAAAAACTAATGGTCAATAGAGATGAAGCATCAAAAGAGATAAATCTATATTTTGAGGAGTGATTCTAACTAAAATAAAAAATTTCAAAGAAATATTCATCAGTTCTGATAGACACGAGAATACCAAATAATTTATAGAAACTAACTCAAAAGTAAAGGTAGGATTAAATTAAACATACTTCCATAGGATAAATTATAGTTTGAGAAGTTGCACCAGCCAATGCACCAGATAAAAATTTCGTATGTAATTTCAGACTTCCATCTGGACTACTGCCTAAACTTTCGTTAAGCCAGTGTTTGTACATTTCGTAGGCCTGAAACTTAATTCCTGACTCTGGGGCAATTTTCAAACAGTTAACACCATTTCCACGCCAAAGTGATGTGACGCCACCTTCTTTAACCATTTTATTGACTGTACCCAAAAGTCCTACTTCAGAAGCTTTACTTCCAAGTGCCTGCCATGTCAGCTTAATTCGATCTAAAGGAGCTGTAACAGTCCTGGAGATGCAACCAGCAATACCTGCAATGTATAAATAAATAACAAAGTTAGAATCCCCCGAAACTATAAACGAGCAAATAATCTAAACGTTCTAATAAGTGATATTTTGTATGGAATTTTCATTACTAATAGAAGCAAATTTGAAATATATAACAGCAACGATTATGAGACATCATAAGGGTTAATTAACTGATGAAAATAAAGTAATCCTTATACACCTGAATACTTAGACATTAACACAAGACATCTAATGTTTTTATCACGCGCCTTGTCAGACTTATTGTGAAATTGATCCATAGGATAGAATATGCAATCAAGACTTGACGAATACTTCAGTATTTGAAACAGGTCAATACTTTCTGATAGAATTTACATGACCACAAGAACCTAGAGTCAGAGACCAAGCTATATGACTCTGAATCAATAGTAGTGACTTAGATGTATTAATGTGTTATCTTCCTTTTTGTGGTAAAATCACACTTCTTTTGCAAAGACGGGACAAATGTGACAAAGCTTATATCACACTAAATCCATCAATTATGCACAGTTTCCTAAGTTATGTTCAGTGTTATTACTGATATGATGACCGCGAAAACCGAGATAAGAATTAAATTCATAACTGAATAACTAACCATTCAATTGCAGCTATAAGGTACAAGCAATTAAACGAAACAATAATGAAACTGATTTACTCAACATAGTATCCTTACCAGCTACACTATGACCCACACTATACATATACGAGTTTATGATACTATTCCGTTGCTCAGGACAAAGTAAGTTACATTCAAATCAGTTAAAGCTTAGTTGCCCTTGTGGGCATAACTGGTTTTAAAGCGGATTTCATTACGAAACAATACAAGTTATGAAACTGTTGAAAAACAAGTAGCACGTGAAGGCTGTTTTGTCCTATTATGTGACTCTTCAACAGTGCACATCCACGACATCAACAAAAATTGAGCACAAAACTTACACATTACGAGGTGAGCACACTTACTATCCACCAATGAAAGTGAATGAGGTTGGAGCTATATCACGAATTGACAGGAGTTATAATCCACGCGTTGCCGGATTCCGTCCCAGTGACTAGGTGGTGAACGTGCTCGCTTGGTAATCTGAAGAACCGACGTACAATACTTGATTGGTGATGATTCCGCAATCAGAACGAAGTAGCTTTTCAGTACTCCATAGTTTTCAGTGATTCTCTGAATAACGTCTGTTCGTGACAAAAACTACCAAAAAGAGTTAATTGCTTGCGCTGATCAGCCACACACACACACACACACATACACACATTAGCATTTACTGTTAAGTAGGCATTCACATGTTTCATTCAAACTCCACCAAAACACTCCAATTTATGGAGATGTAGTAACTTCTGAATATTCTCGATGACGTTTTAGGAAAATGTTACGGCTACTTCTAATCAGTTGCATATAGACTTCAATTGTGTTGCGCGAAGCGTGCTAAAACTTTTAATGCTTAAAGTCAGCTAACCAGTTCAAATCAAAAAAACATTATGGTATCAGACAGTACAGGCTAAAGATCCTTTCCTTGAATAACAGATTTATAACACCAATAAGCTATTCTCTTGGAATTGTACAGATGTCATCAAAATTTAGGAGAGATTAAGGAATGATGTAACCTTGGATGAGATTGAGGACAAGCGTCTTAATCACTTATTTTCGTTAAAATCTCCCGTGTTAAAAGTATCAATATAATATGCAAAAGTATTGACATGAGACAAACAACCAAAACTAATAATCCTATTCAATATATTGACTTCAAGAAACACAACTTTTAATATTGAATATGTATCATGCTGTTTGGTCATCAAAGGTTGGGTTGATAACACCCCAGTTGTCTTATGCCTGTGAAAACTTATCTCTTACATTGGCCGTACGACCGGTTTCAGTGGTCTGTGTGTTTCACTAGTCTAAACACAGCACTCAATGTTTGCTGGTAAGACCGACTGGAGGCGAATACGGGTAGCACACAAGTGGCGCTATTGGATATAGGATAGTTGCATTGGGTTAGTGTCTAATAGCGACTCATCAATAAGACATGACTTGCAATCGAAACCACTGACGACCATGGGTAGTTTTCTTGTCTCTTTTACTACCTGAAATATAGGTGTCAAACTCTTTATTGGATGCGTCTAAAGACAACACTAACTTGCTCATTATTGCATTCCTAAGCCTTTTCCCTCTATATTGTGGCCATATTACTTTGTGTGACGTTTTGCCTTATAGCCAGGCTGTACGATGTTTGTGTTTAAGCACATGGATAAATAACGAATTGCAAGATAACATTGAACAGTAAAGGGAAGACAGCTTTTAGTTTACAATACTAACCTCCAGAGACTAATGTTTTCCATGCATCCCCAGATTTCTTTTCCTCTTCTGTAAAATCATCTGGAACACACATGTTTTCACCAATATCTATAGCTGTTGTATGTCTCCAATACCGAAAAATCTCATCAATCTTTGAAGTTCCACTAAACAATAAAAATTCCCTCCATTCCTTATAATCAATATCCAGAGATCCATCTTTATCCATACGCTCCATTAACTTTTTTGCATCAGCCTCATTCACATTAACACCAAGTCTTTTCATAGCTGACTGAATTTCACCAACATCTATACGTTCATCATTGTTTTGGTCAATTTCTTTGAATGCCAGTTTTAAATGAGTTTCAGCATCTTGTATGTAAGAAAGAAATTCTTGAAAGGTTAGCGTTTCATCATTATCTGAATCTCCTTTGGTCATAATTTTTTTAGCTGTTTTGCTTTGAGTATTCGGTTCATCCTTGTTTCCTTTTATAACACGACTAAGTTCAGTAACACTAATTCGACCATCCTTGTCTACATCCAATTCACTAAATAGTTTCCCAATACGATCTCGATCAGAATTAGATAAAACAGGCATTGTTGATAGTCTCCACTAACTTTCAATGTGAACTTTATTCAAGAAGAAATACAATAAGAAAAAAAATATGATCACTAGTTTGAACGAAAAAATTTAATGGGAATTAGAAGAACTCTGTACAACTTTTATTATCAATGGAAAATCTGTTGAAATGAGTAAGATTCCTAGTATTATGCGAATGATAACATACTAAGTATATATATAAGCTACCACCCGATAATATGCACTAAAGAATAAATTAAAGACTTAATATGCACTCTACAAATCAGCTATAACTTTTAAGGACAGTGTAATACAACCGACAAATAAGATGTGACCTACAATTACAGAACAGTTTATTGGTGGATTATTTTCACTTAAGAACTACTAATTAAAAGCAAAACACATTAAACGAGATTGAACATTGAGACTAGTAGGCCTGTAGTATATAATTCCAAATCCTTTTAACACAGATTGAGCAACACGTATGTCTGTTATAGGTCTGTGACAAGAAGCTGAGTTTCCATTCTACCACTCTCACATTTTAAAACAGGCTGAAAAGTATTTCGCACAAAACAAGCTTCTATTTAATAATCGCTGATAAATCAGATGGTATTCTTTTAAATTACATACACACAACCGTCATTCACTGGTGAAATTGAATCTGTAGAACTACAGAGTAACTTCAGAAAGTCCAAGCACAAATCATCCATAGGACAAAAAGTTTCATTGTCTCAGCAAACAACGACGTGTAGTTTGCTGGAAATAAGTCTACTCCATTCACTTTTCCGGTTGTATATATGCTGAAACCCATTCTGTTAACCTCTAGTGTTTATTCTCTTACTAAAGAGCATCTAGTGTAACTTGCGCTAATAGATAACCGCCAGGCAAAAACGATGACAAAATAAGTTTTCAGAATGTCTCGAATAAAATACAAGACCTGAGACGTGTCTCTCATCTAACGAATTTAAAAATAGCCAAGACGCCTATCCTAAGAATGCAATTTGCAGAACAGAAGCAAGTTCATGTACTCAACTGAAAACAAATTTTGTTGTTTAAAAGTGATAATACGGAGCAATCAAACCTCTGATTGGAAATTAACTGTTTAGTGAGATGATCTGTTATACCAGGTATTTAGGAATATACATCAACTCTGATAAGACGTCTGCTGAATGAACCTCAGGACAGATAATGCATGTCCAAAGTTTGACAAATAATCCAGTTCCTAGCAAGGACATAACACGTGGATGCTTGTTCAAGCGCAGGAATTTTCAGTAATTCCAAAAAGTACCTGCATAAAAATAGAAATCACGGGCCCTAAAAATTCTTGAGTATGTTTTAAAAATAGTCCGTATTTGATTTGAAACTGAGCTTAGTGTTTTTCCCTCCGGTGAGATCAAAATAACGACTGAACAATGCTCAATTCACACGCAGGTAACTCAATATATCAGTTTATCTAATTACAATGAGATCGCTAGGCTCATATGCTATATTTTATGGGTTACTGTGTACTCACACGTTAAGTGTCAGCTGAAATAATAGCCCTCTAACGTCTATGAACTTCAAGACCGTGAAGCAGCACTAATCCATCAGTACACTAACTAGTAGCTTGAACAATGTAGAAAACAATCAGCTGTCTAGCCAACTTTCTAAAAATATCAATGGTGTCAAAGTCCTGGTATTCTATGCCAAAACTAATCATAGTAGCACAAATATACTGACTTTTTCCATATTATATTTTGTTTCAATTATTAGACAGTGATGCAGTGTTATCAACTGGATGACGTTTCCAGCATAAATTATTGTTCATAGTCATATCGATTTAGTCACATGCCTTCATATATATATACCTTTCTATCCCTCTCCACCTTGTTGTTTGTTGCTACTTTCCATAAGTCCCACATAGTTGCTGTGTCATTCAGAGTGCATGTGTGGTACTGAATCTCTCAGAGATAAACTTGTCGGCGTAAGGATCCAGCAGATCCAATTAAGAAAAATAATACAGTGTACCGAATACGATGTAATGACTGTGAGGTCAATTACATAGGTCGAACTAGTAGATCGGAGTCAATTAGGTTGTTGGAATATAAAAATTTAGATAGATCTAGAATGGTTGACCCTGATAAGTTGAATAACTTTTAAAAAAGCTCAGTCAATGCATTGCATTCACAAAATACGATAGGACAGGGTGAGAGTATTAAAAAGTAATACAGTTAGTGGAAGAGAGGTTAATCAATGAATCTTTGTCTACCAATTCAAAATTGAACGTGTAATCGGAATGACGCCACACCTATACCGGATATATGGAAAGTAGCAACAAACAACAAGGGGAAGAGAAGTGATATATATATATATATATATATGAAGGCGTGTGACTAAATTGATATGATTATGAACAATAATTTATGCTGGGAACGTCATCCAATTGTTAACAGTGTATCACTGTGACATTTGAAATAAACTTATCTAGCATGGAATTACATTGTACCACAATGCCCAAGTTCTACATTTACATATTGATTCTTTGTTATCAAGAATATTGATAACCATGCTTATTTTAACTCTTCCTATTTTCAAGACATTCATCTATTGCATAAAAAGTGCCCGTATGATATAAGTTAAAATGACATGGGCATTTTAGTTTACTGCTCACACTAGTTCAAATCATGACTTCAATGAGATATCACAACACAGAACACATTTATAACTGAGGGAATATTTTCAAAAGATTTTCAGAAATGTAGATGACATACTTCAGTTTGAAATTATTTCGACCCTCAAAAGTATCATGAAAAATGAAAGCTGGTTTTTATATGAACTCATTAATCAACCTGTAAGTTTGTAACGCCCAACAGTGTGACAACATAAACCTTGAATTTCACAACAAATACTTAACACCGGTTCACAAGAGATGCACGTAAGAAATTTAGTCATAGTTTAACTACTATATAAATGCAAATGCTTTAGTGAGCACCTTACGACGAAATGAAATTGTGCGAACCGTTATACAATGGTGCGAAAGATAAAACTACTTTCGAATATCTATCCAACACAATAGTGTACACGATTAGGAGTGGTTTCATATTCTGAAAAAATACATTATTGTAAGGTATGGATTTAACCTAACTGATAATTAAACAGTGGATCGTTCGCACTTTAAATGAAACAACTGATGAGAAATGCTCCAGGAAGTATGCCAAATAGGGTTAGTAAATCGTTACCGCCGGATATTATAAAAAGGAGCAAAGTAAGAGTTACCTGGTCAAACAACACGGGTGAAAAACCATTTTCACGAAAAAAGACGAAGTGTCACCAAATTACTGAGTATATTATCTGTGAGATTAATTTTATATAAACGTCTGATAATTAATTGAAGACCTAAGTCGTACTGACTCAGGATCATCCCACGTGGATGCAGTCAGCCAAAGCTTTTACACTGTCACGCAAACCTTACCGATTGCGTATGGTAGAAACACTTTAATGAGACTGTTCGTACATATTTCCGATTTACCATATTTCACCACTTTTGAATTCACGTTGCTCTCTACCTTAATTCAAACTAAAATTCATAGCTTTAATGATAATGTTTCTGAAGAACAGTGATAGGTACGTAATTTTTCGCTCAATGAAACCATAAGGAGATATTAATCAATTCTGCGGAAAGCAGTAACTAATTATTATTTGAAAGTTTAATATGTTATAAAATGTCCCAAAACTTTTACAACTACCTGCATTGAAACTAATACAAAGAATGAGAAAATACTCCCTTCTGACTGAGTTAATTCGTAATTAGCAAACAGCTGCCCATAAGTTACATCAGTGATCAAATATATATTACAAAACTTTTCCATTAATGTGACTACTCATCACGAAAGGCAGAAGTGTAGACTTATTTCAGTGCCATTAATCTTACTGTTATCAGCTTCTCCCAACAGAGCACTTCGTGTTGATGTTTCCAAAACAAATTTACATTTTCACATTATTGCAGATGACAAAGATTTGCATAGGACAGTAACTTGCTGCATTCGTGTTGGAGATTGATTTAGGTTACACTATAATTATTATCATATATAAATAAACCTAGTAGACGCAGCTCTCCTAAACTAGCCTCTCACACAATGCCATAAAATACGGCGAAACCATAAGAGATTCGATTGTCATATCCCCTGATGCATAGAAGTGCGATAGCTTCTATCTCAGTTACGCTAGACTAAGTATTTTAATTTATTGTATAGGGACATCCTGGAGAATACAAAGAGATACTAGTTTTTCACATCTACGAAATGCATAGTAAGTTATCAATACACGAAGGCGGACAACTAACCATTAGTATAGCTGATATTTGGATCCGCGAACTACTACGAACAATCCAATGACTGTAAGCTCCTGGTAAATAGTCAAAGTCATTGTTCGCAGGAATAAGTCACTCAGTTTACAAGTTAACTGCTAATTAAGGAACATCACAAACCTGAAAATACGTGTGGTTTTTATCGGTAGCATAACAGCAATAAAAACTCTAATGTGAATTGGGAATCACATATATTTGAATAAAACACAAAAGCAGAAAATCTTTAAATATATGAAAAGATAAGGTGATACATTGCTCAGTACCGATATTTAGTGGAATAGTCCTTTGGAGAAACAACCAAACCTCGGCCTTTTCTTGCACCTCTGTACACAGTTTCCACAATATCTATAAATTCCTGTCCATCCTCAATGGGCCAGTTAATCTTATTATTGTTACCAGTCCCCAGGTCGATCATAATATGCTTATTGCGATAGAAGAACATAACAGTACAAGGATCGTAAAGTTCGTACATCTTATTAAAGTCGGGGACTTGTGTTATATCAACCAAATACATAACAGCAAAATTCTTTACTTTCTCAGCAATCTTAAACAGCGTCTCATCCATTACCATGCAAGAGGGGTCCCAATCATGACCGAAGCGAATGACTACAACTCTGTCCTCTTCCGACAAAATTGCCTGATCTACCTGCCATCCATTTGTTAAATGAGAAAGCATATAAGACATGTTTACTCTGTTATAAATAAAATGTACGTAATACCCTCCGAAAGTTAAGGTCGTCGTACACCATCCAATACCCAATATCGACTTCAAAAGCTACTATAACACACCAATATGACTTGTCAGAAAATGAGAATTTCTATCAATCCAGAAAACACATAACACAATTTTATTAAAACTTATTCACAAAATAAATAAATAAATCAGAATTTCAACCAACCGCGCGAACTTTGAAAAAAGAGCGAATTTTACACGCTATTGTTTAATTTTGGCTTTTGTTATGTTATACGCTTTAAAGGTCTACAGATTAGGTTTGAATCAGTTTCTTCTGATCGAAGCTAGTTTACTTTTCAGTTTTGAGTCTATTTAATTATAGGAAGTTGTGTTATTATAACTTAATAGTTATATATATCCATTTATGTGCACTCTTTGGCTTTTTATCACTGATTTATAAAGGTTATATATACATAAAGTCATATTTAGATCGTTTTTCCGCAATTCGCTCTAAAAAGCATGTCGATCAAAAGAAACGGAGGCGGAAGGGTTATGTGCCAATTTTCAGTGGATGAGGTGTGGTGAGAGCTGGCTGCTACTCAAAGTTGGTAGACAGTAACTGACGTCAATGTTTATGTCTTCAATATTGATGGTGAGAAAATGAGAACAATGGCCTTGCGTAGGCGGATACAGTTAGCATATGGATGATCTGTGTTATGTATGAGATATTAGGACCTTGTAGACTACGAGCGAATCTAACTAATGCGCTGGCTAATCTGTCCTAATCGCACGTCAACAACAACAATACCGCCGGGCACGCAAGGCAAAGAAAGAAGACTGGACGTTGGTACGAGAGCTTTTACTGTCTCTAACAGCAGTCGAAATGTTGAACAAAACCTCCGTATTTATACAGTTAGGAAAATCAATGTCATATTTTAAAAATATTAACAAACCATGGGAATTCGGTGATAAAAATCAATAATCACGCAGATGCGGGAAATCAATGATTATGCAAGTGTGGAAAATAAATAATGAATATTGATGAGTCGCCTGTGTATATATCAATGTGATACAGCCACAGAGAGATGCAAGATTTAACTTTCTGTGAGAAACAACCAATCAAAAGACTGCATTTTCTACTAACAATGATCTACACTAATGTACATTAAAATCTATAAATATGTGTTGATTTTCCTTAATAAACGATCCGTTGCCTGGCCCTTGTCTTCTGTTTTTACAGAGGGAATGAAGTGTGATAACTTCAAGAGATGGTTTCATAGCGTGTGTGCAAACCTAACTCCTGCAGCATACAAAAGCTGCTGCAAACTTCTGGCAAATCGGTTGTGCAACGACTGCTGTAGTACGACTAAATTTCGTATAACAGAAGCCATTGCCACTCTCAGTGGGGCTATAAAGCTCATGGACTGCAAGGGTCATGCACCACAGCAGGCGACTGATTATTGCTCAGACACCGAATACGTGACTAGCGCCATCGACTAAACAGTATGTGTTCCTCATACGCTTCTGTCAATTAGTGAGTGCCCTTCAGCACAGAAGAGCATCCACCATATCTCAGACACCCACACTGCCCCCACGATACTGGATAAGCCCTCCAGAGACAGTAACGGAAAGACTGCCACGAAGAAGAGGCGCATGAGGGGTCGAAAACCCGCAACTCAAGTCGAATAGGGACTGGAAGATCAAGCCTCATCCACACCGGTGAATAGCAGGCAGATAAGACCGAGTACGATCAACGAGGAGGACGTCAATAAATGGTGTAATGTAGTCTCTCGCAAAAGGCGAGATAAGGACAACACATCGGCTACACTACCTACGTAGGACAAAAAGACGTTTACGCTGCAGAGCAAGAAAGCCACGGCAACCAAATATGATCTCTCTGACAGGTTAATACTCCTTCAAAAGTTTTAATTGTTCGATTATTGTACAAGCAATCAGGACGGGTTCTTGTAAATGTTAAATTGTAATCCCATCACTAAGGCCAACATCAAAGTTGAGCGACAACCCAAACTTCGTTCCATTCCCTGCTGTTAGTTATGGTCAACCTGTGAAGTGCGTTATTTCGGTAACTCCTACGCCGCCACGTGATTAAAAGCTATTTCAGGAAGAGAAGAACGTCCTAGGGAAACTTCAAAATGGTGTAAAATTCAATTGTGGATAATACGTCGTTGGAAGTGCACTTAAAATATATACATAAGAATGAGGTGGAGACTCCTTGGAATGATAGTATACATTTGCAGTGCTTAATGCTAACCATACTGGTCTATGCACGGAAACTATAACGTTTTCGATGAAAATACGGCTTGCCTCAAACATTAATGCTGTTGTGGTTTTTTCATCAAAGCAACCAGATTTTAAGGAAGCAATAAATATGAACGAAGAGTAAGTTTAAGCTTGAATAAAGGCCTAGGTAGTTAAGATAGAGTATAATAATGGGTAAATAAAAAGATTATTGTGAGGTGGATAAGTGCTATTTCAGCGATAAGTGGATTCAAAGATCTGGAAGATTAGAACCCGTAGTATAAGCTGACTTGTAAGATGCCTTACGAAAGTCTGTATGACCCATGGGGTATATGATAATATATTCTCAGCTTATGTATATGAGGGACGCCAGTTTAAAGGCATCATCAGTGTGACAAATAAAATATACCAGCAGTAGGCATATTTACAATTATTCACTTGCACAAGATATACATCGGAACAGGTTACGGAATAATACCTGTTTGTCACTTTGCACAGGCGGAAACGATGTGCACAGTATAACACAAAACATCACCACTGAAGAAGTTTCACCAAAATGCGCGCCATAGTTGATGTTTCCGTTACGGGATAAAACCATGTTAGGTAATAAATAAAGTTATTTCACCGATAATAATGTTATTAGCGATATTAACTGCCAGGAACTCACCAAAGCAGTAAGTATCCAGTTAAACATAGAAAGAGGTTGTCACAGCAATCAGTTTATACGTGGCCAGGAACCAGAATAACTAAACTAATCCATATTAAATGACAATTGAGGCATCTAGGAGCTGGAAATTATCATCACGGGGGTCAGTGGCGTTATTAATGCAACCACTGAGATATTTTCTTAAATTGCCAGATTTATTGGTACTGCACCGGTGGTGATTGGGATTTTTTAATGGTGTAGAGCTAACATTCAACATATGTCATCCAGAGTGCGCCACAAGCGAAAGTAACGGATAATTCGAGGGGAAGTTGCAGGATATGGGAGCAGTAATGCTTGCAGACCATTTGTCCTTGGAAGTGACCAGATATCTGCATTCCTTATTCTCATTCAAAAAGTCGTGTAGAATCTAAAATGGTGAGAGAAAAAAGAAGACAAACGACAGCAGCACAGAAGAAAGCAGGTGGAGTCCTCAAGGAGTGATGTACAAATTTATGTATATATTTTGTGTAGAAACTATGATTATTTTGGTACAGTAACTATGTAGTTCTGTAATGCTAACGTTTACTTATGTGTGAACTAATATTAATGTCCTGTATAGAAATGTGTATCATGTATTTCCAATAATATTAACATTTATAATTTTAGATTGTTGCAACTCATACGCTTACTGAACCTCAAATATCCATGTAGGGTGAAAAAGTGTGTTGGAGTAAGATGCAGGAGTGCACTGTCATCTTTGAGCAGTCTCGTGTCCGAGGAGATGATGACTGGAAGTGTATCGGCATCATGCACATTAGCTGGTAGTCTATTCCAAATGACTGAAAACTTATTTAAGAAGTTGTACCGCATGTGAGTGTGACAATGCTCCATAGCAGCTATGTTGTCATGATTTCTGAGATTGTAACTGATGACAGCGGTAGATTTACTTATTGGCCAGCAGGAGTAGAAAATAAGGTGTAGCTTAAGACGTCTTTTCCAGAGTGGTTCTAGTCTCAGTCTGTCGCAACGCTCAGAGTAGTTGGGAATACATTTTAGACCAAGAGTTCTTGAAGTAAATTGCAGTTGCACTCCCTCTAATTTAAGTTTGCCATTCTTTCGCATTCCTCTAAGAATAACCAGGCAGAATTCTAAAATAGGTCGGACGCATAGTTTGTATAATAAAACCCTAGTTTCACAACAAAAGAAACTGCAAGTTATGCATCCTAGGAGCCTTCGTGTTTTACATCTAGCCTGATCTGTTTTTTCGGACAACGTTAGGTTACTGTAGTACCTGACACCAAGTTCTGCAACTGAGATGAGCTTGGCTAATTTGGTCAAGTTTACTGTTACCAATGCATATCCAGCCGCATTTTTCAATGTTAAACTTTAGACAGGATTCAGCACACCATGTTGCGAGAGCACTTAGTTCAAGACGTATTTTACTTACCATAACGTTTAATTCATTAATGTAGTAGGAGTGAACGAATTTGTGGTCGTCAGCATACACGAATGGTGAAGCAGTCATGAATGCTGTTAATATAGACTGTAAATAGAAGTGGTACCAGGACATTACCTTGCACAACCCCACTTATGGTCTGCCCAAGATGAGACAATACAGATCCGACTTTGGTTATTTGTGCCCTGTTGCTTAGAAAAGATTTTAACCATTTCAGTAATGGATTAAGAATTCCACATGAGTACAGCCTCTCAAGGAGAACACTGTGACCTACCATTTCAAATGTCCTAGATTTGTCGAAGTAGAGAACAACGACTAGGTTACATGCTTTGGGACTACTAGTGATGCAATTGTAAAAGTCAAAGTAACAACTAACGCAGGGCATATTTTTGAGAAATCCGTGTTGAGGCCTTGTAACAAGATCTTCTCTAAGTAGATAGTCCAACAACATCCTTCATGATTCGCAAGATAACTGGTGTTATGTTTATAGGTCTGTAGTTTTGGACGTTCGCCTGTCACCCGACTTGTAGTGTGGAATTATAAAGCCAGTTTTCCACTCATTAGGGTAAGTGCCAGTGTCCACAGATATTGAGGAGAATATAAGAAGTTATAGCGGAATGTCACGCCCACTGTTTTCGAAAATTATTGAAGCAAGGTCGTCTGGCCCCGTGCTAGTAGAAGGTTTCAGGCTTTTAACTGCTTGTTCTATTAATTGATTGGTGAACACTATGCTTCCGAGGAAAGAGCTAGTAAGGAAGCGGTTTCACCAGGGATGTGCGTTTCTAAACTAAAGTTCGCAAATCACTCACT